ACACACACACACACACACACACACACACACACACACACACACATATATATATATATAGCAAAAGTGTAAATAAAAACTAGAAATGGAGTGAAACTCTTTCAAAAAAAAAAAAAAAAGAAAGAAAGAAACGGAGTAAAACAGATAATGTGAAAAACTTTCAAGAATGGAGGTAGTGCATGGTATGGTTATTGTTTTTCGAGTTTGGAATGGGGTAAGCTCATAACTGGGAAAATCGCGAGCTGGAGAACAATATATAGTTCATAGTGCTTAAGTTATGACCCTCTGGCCAGATAGAACAGTGCTCCTTCTTGGAACTTCCACCATAGAATCTACCTGCTCAATTAACCAATGCTGGATGCTAGTGGACTCTCCGGATCAGAGAATCTCATTCAAGTTCGTCCTGATCAACTAAGAATGACTACAGATCGGAGAATCTCACTAGGGATTGTCCTGATATACTTTCTTGTAGTTCACTTCATAACCTGCAGTAATCTCCAAATGCCTCATCTCTTCCTTAGTGCCTATATCCGGCTTTCTTCAAAATTCTAAGGTCCTCAAAAAACTTAAAGCCTTTACATTAGAAGCTTGTTTGAAGAGACTCAAGAAGAATGACCAACTGCAAACTGGTGAACACACAAGTGCACTTCTCCTGTTTATTAAATGTGTTTGGAAGTAGCAAGAGAGGATTTCATGTTATCATGTATGCAGAAAACTTTTATCTACAGTGCACTTCTTCCAGAAAACACACAAGTGCACCCCACCAAATATATCAACAAAAATGGAGCACAATGCAGAAAATTTTAAAATGTTTCTATTATGCATTTTCAAACTGCTCATCAGAAACTTCTTTAATCAGACACTGAAATAAAATTAGTCCAAATTATCAAAAAAAAATAAATAAATAAATAAATAAATAAAATAATTGTCCAGAAATTAATTTTTTAATAAATGTGCTGATGAGGAAACTAGGTAAAAGGCAACAAGAAGCAATAGAATGATATTTTTACCTCAATCCATTCCATGATTAAGACTTTCTGAGTTGTTTTTGTCAATGTACATTTGGGGAACCACAACATCAGGAAGACCACCATACAACTCTCTGCAGGTATTGAAAGAAAATTACATACTAGAATCAAACAGATATGAGAAGGCAGGGAAAGCTGAGGAAACACAGGAAAGAATGCAAAATTTCTTTCTGAGAAGGAGGAAGAGAGGACAAAGAATGTCCCAAATAACAAAAAGGAGAAAAGACTTGATTCAGAAACCAAACCAAAAATAAAAGCAGCCCATAGGCATTCATCTTAAACTAAGGTCAACACAAAACACTAAACATTGATCTTGCAATAAAAAGAAGCCAATTAGGCCACCAAAGCAAATAGTCTACACTAATACGTAATTGAGGACACTTGTTAAACATTGTCTCAGAAACCACAACTGAGATCTAAGGCCTTTCACCTTAATACAACATGACTACAAAATCATAAGCAAATGAATGTGTCCTGTTTCCTCAGAACCCAGCCAAAAGAATATGTCACAAATTTTTTTTAGCCACACGAACAGATTCTCTAAAAAGAGTGTAGTGGGACTTGGAGGTAAGAAAGGAATGGATCAGTTCGCCTAACAGAGAGGATGCAGAGAAGCAACATTGGCAAGCTTATATGAGCACCATGCTATAGCACCATAGACAGCCAGAGATCGAAAAGGTGCAATCTTAATGCCTCAATCACATACTTGATCTTAGAAAGGATGCCTTAGAATAACAGTGTTGCAAAGTGACTAATTGATTGGTGGGTACTTTCAATAACATATTGAAAAAAACAAAAAAAAAAATAAATAAATAAATAAATATTATGAAAGTGCTATTTAAGATGTATTTAATTGTATAATTTTAATACTCCATTTTTTATCAACATAATTTAAGAGATACAATATAAGTCATAGTAAAATTGAAAATAACAAGGACTATTAGTAAACATTGTCATTGCCTACACACAGCAAATTCCTTGCCAAAGAGAGCCTTAAAAGTTCGAACATTTCAATATACAATTAGCCTCACTCACCTGAATTTTAATCCATTGTTTGCTTCTTTCCTGTAATCCATCTCCTGCATTCAATTTGATTTACCTGTATTCATTATGAAGCTCTAAGGATATTTCTTATCTCATATCTCACATTTGACCATCATAACAAATTAAAATAAAATATGATGGTAAGTGTCAAAATAGAGAGAAAGTAACAACAGACAGGACAAGAAAATAGAATCCGAGAAAAAAGTAACTTGTGAAAATGCAATAAACTAGTAGCATCCAAAATCTTTCCTTCAGTTAGTAGGATACTAATGCAGAAATGTACCCTTTTCCCAAAGGTAAAGGAGATTTTTTTTTTTTTTTATAATAATTAACACAAAGGTGACACCTGCCATGCTTATAATTAAGAAAAATAAGCAAGTACGAGATGAGCCAATAGCCAAACAAAGGCCCTCAGTCAAACTTTTAGGCATGTAGATGGTCATAGAAATATGTAGCCATGATGATCAAAGTAGATAAACTTACCCTAAAAAGGCTTGAAGCCCATTCATCTACGACTGCCTGCAAATAATAATCCACTTGTTCAATTATAATCATCAATAGAAAATGAAAGAAAAAAAAAATGATGTGGATTCCTAATCAGAACTTATATTTGTAAATTTTATTTCATAACTTTTTCCTAATTATTTGTAAGAGAATAAAAAGAACAAATGATGAATTGGTCCTAGAAAAAATGTTTTTGTCCAAATGTTCATGTACAATACTAGGAATCACTTCCATAAAGATCAATTTATTGATTTCTTTGATATGTATCACAAATACAAATTCGCTCAGATATGAGCAAATCAATAATATCAATAACTAACTAACATAAGACCTTTTGCAGTTCAATGACAATCATTAATTCATCCCAAAGGCCATAGAAGCAAGATCCAATGCATGTCACAACCCTTTACAACACAACAATAGCAGTTTTTCATGCATTATCACTGCACACATTTTACAACGAGATCCACCAAGACTGGACTATACGAATGACCTGCTGTGTTCAAGATCACTCAGAGAATTTACTGACTTTCAGCACAAAACTAACCATTTTTGGGTGTGTCGAGGAGAGTCTGTTTAGCCGGTAACAAAGAGAACATTGATAAATCACTATACATGCTAAAAAGGGAACCAAAGGAGACCAAGATCTAAAGTTCAAAAACAAAGAGGGAATTTGCGTATAGGACAAACAAGGTCTTGACTTGGGTGTGTCTAGATCTTAAAACTAAAAACCAAAAATCTGGGAAAAAAAAAAATAATGAGAACAAGATGGCATGGCTGCAGCTGACCAGGAACAAAGCTCATAGGCAAGTGAAAGTGCTAAAAAAAGAGTAACTATAATGTTAAACCTTAACTGGAAAAGAGAAAAAGAGGGAGGACAACAAGGAATAAAATTAGGTCTGTTCAACCTCTCAAAACAAGAACAAGGGATGTCCATCAGTGGTAAGGAAGTGAAGGCCAACATCTGCTTGTTTGTTTTTATATGTATAATTTCCATATTCAAAAAACCTGAGAGCATCACAGTTAGGGTTTAAATTGTGGTGAGTTTACAATTGCAATTCAACCAATAGTAATGCATTGTGGAAGTGTACTCTATGAGGTGTCATGTAAAGCGTAACACTTGATGAGGCATGATTTTGTTATCAGCTGAATCAACTCTATTACTGTCTCGCATCATCCACTATGAGTTTTCAAATTATAATTGTTGCAAGCAGCAAATAGCATCATTACCTGTAGGTCTGTATTAAATTTTCCTGCCCTCCGAATTATCCCTGCAACAAAACGCAATATAAATATGTCCAAGGCAATAGCAGCTTTTACACCAGGTCTCTGGACCTTGACAGCAATCACCTGTCCACTTGCCCGAAGTCTAGCTTGATAAACCTATTCAAATGTTCTTTTGGTTAGAAAACCTTTTTCTTAATCAGAAACGAAAAGTACAAAGTATCAGTTGAATAAAAGTCACACAACAGAAACTAGGGACACATAAGAGCATCGGAGAATAAACCCTACGTTCCTATATAAATGCATCACTTGCCTTATTCGGCCGTTCCAAAATATATGCCTCACTTCTATATTGGGTAACCTTCTATAATTGTCTCTCTCCTATGTCATGATCTCACTCATTATTTTTTATGGTTTCTCTATCCGTCTCTCATTGGCTTTTGAATTTTTTATTGCTATTTCTCTTTCTTATATATGCCTTTTATTTTAATAAATAATTTACCCACTTGTTTCTCTTTCATAATATAATATTACTGTTCAAAGATTCTTCTAAACTATGTGCCAACACAAGTGATGCATTTAATTAGGAACGGAGGAGTAGTCCCAGAAAAAATTGACATGTTTCCTATAGTATGAGCCTACAGAGGCTAAGATTCCTAAAAACAAACCAGAATGCTTATTGCTTACAAAGTCATGATCCTATGTACATGCATTCAACATCCCTCTCAACGCAGAAAGGAGTACCCAATATATACCCATAAAATGTAATTTACTTTTCCACATCAACCTTGAATCAACAATTACTGATACCTGGCCAAGAGATGCAGCAGCTACTGGCTCTGATGAAATTTCCGAAAAGATTTCATCGATTGGCATCCCAAGTTCCTCCTCAATGAGACTAAATGCCACTTTATTGGAAAATGGAGTTATACTGTCTTGTAACACTGAAAGTTCCTCCAAGTATGATGGTGGAATTAAGTCCTACGAAAAGAATTGATGCATAAGATAATAACATAAACATTGAAAATAGTTCATAAGAATTGACAGCAAAAGGAAGAATGTCAAAGAGTCTTTGTAGATTCCTGCTTTTTGACATTCATCCAACAGATGGAAAGAGTGAAACGATTTTAGTAAACATTGAAAATAGTTCATAAAACAGTTCATACATCAGAAGAACAAAGTTTTTCTTTCCCCAAGTTCTTACAACAGTTCACACTTCAATAGAAAGGAGTACAAAATTAAGCAAAAACTTCTACTTACCTTCGCCAAGAAAGATTTCAGTAACATAGAATAAAACTCTTTTTGTCACAAATGTCTTAAGTGATAAAGTCGAGTTTGACCAAGATAAACTACGATACTTAATTATCCCAAAGCAGTTCCACATAGCTAGACATAAATATCCTTCACAGATAAAAACTCCCTTCGTTCTTCTTTAATCGAATGTTTGGAATGTTACACTATTCACACATGATCCTTTGATCATCTTTTATGATTTATACATTGGAAAAAATAGCCATGTGGGATTTTTTAGATTCGTATCAAAATATACTTTCAAAATATCAACTTACTAAAATACAATTTAAGATATAAAAGTTACAAAATGTGCATTGGCAAGTAGGTATCCCCCAACGTTGCGATTTGCAACTTGCCAACACTGGTACATAGTGAATTATAAAATATGTTATCATATGAGCTGCGCCGGTGATTATTATATATATGAATACAGTGCTGATTTTTCAACTAGGAAAATTTGGTGGGAAAAAAGAGTATGTAACTCCACAATGACGTCTCTATGAGAACAACTGAACACATCTTGAAAAAATACCTCCTGGTTACATGTTCATATAATTCTAGCTAATCACCAAAAGAATGATTAATCCAAACTCATTTTAATACAAGATAAGTACCAATGCACCCCCAACGCCTTAGAAAAGGCTACTAGTAGGTGCAAAATACTTTGATGTCAAAATTCTTCCTCCCAATCTTGTGATAATTGGTGAGGGGTGTAAACACTGGACATGTATTGTAAAAATTCTAGCTATGGTCACTTTAAGGTTAAGCACGACCTCAATAAAAGTAGGTGGTGCCTGTGCTTACAGCTTAGTCACCTGGTACTGTGTTTACTATCCTTGTTTTGTGTGGTACAGTAATAATGTGATTACTTAGTTGGTTATAGAGCTTGTGTTCTTAATTTATGTGCTCAAAGATGTTTTTGATATAAAATTACTTATTATCACAGGATGAAAATGGAATCAACTCAAATTGTCGACTTTTCGGGAGTTTGTCACTTTTTATATGTCTTCCATTTATTTAATAGGCTACAAACAAGAATGTGCAATTGATATAATTTACTTAACCCAAAAACAATTTAATTTAGTTTATTTCATTTTGTTATTGTGGATTTTGAGATCCTAATAGTTTACTCTTAACTATACCACTTAATTAATGGCTTCACTTTCCTAGTTGATTAGGTAATGTGTAATACTCACAAGGTTTTGGATGAATTTTCAATTTTAAAAAGGTTCAATTTAGGAGGTGTTACAGTTGGTGTTATACATTTCCAAACCATCACCGCCACCATCTCTCTTTCATAGTATCCTCAATTACAATCATTATGACCCTACAGCAGATATCTTCATTGTAAATGCTATCACACATCATTCAACGTACACATAATCTATCTGCCATATTCATATTTTAAGCATGATCTTTTTTGAAACCCAACATAATGACCCATATTGGCCATATAGCAAAGCTGGGTGGACAGCAACCATACAAAATTTTCTTTTCACCTCTGAGGAACATTTCAATCGCACACTTCTCTCCACTGGAGCCAGGTAATTAATGATATTAATCCTCCAATCTCCTAAATGATAGGCCCACCTAGTCTTACTAATAGATTTTCCTCTCCCATCTAGTTTCACAATATCTTGTCTAGGATCCTCCTTCGTGCCATATGCACAGTACACTCCAAACATTATGTTTTACTTCCAACTCTTGTTTCCAAAGATCTAACTTTGCATGAAAACCTGCTCTAATAGTCTAAAGTCAACCGGTAAAACAATATCATCTGCAAAAGAAAGGACTTGTGCAATGCCTTGATGTGATCCAGTTGTAAGGGGGAAATTCCCCAATTCTCCTGCACATGTTCTGATATTTATTCTCAATATCTGATTCTCTATATAATACTAAATTATGTCAATATACATGTGACATGCACACCCTTATTTGATGATGCCCATCAAAGTATGTCCCTTGGTACCTTGTCATAAGGAAATTAAGGCTATGTTCTCCTCTCCTTAAATTCACTAATTTCAGGGAAAATAAATAAATAAAATAAAATAAAAAAGAGAGATAGGATAAGTTCTATTTACGAAAAGCAAGGTCATCCAAGTTCAACTCACAACTAACATAAGTTCTAAAAAGTTTAGATAAGTTCAGTTCATTATAAGAGGGAGAAGAGAAAAAAAAAAAAAAAAAGGTTTAAATAAGTTCGGCTGAAAAAGTTCAGATAAGTGAGGTGAATAGAACAGCACCCTAAAAATCAGTAGAAATTGTGTGCAAATTCTTTTTCTTTACATGTACTACTTCCTTTTAATAAGTTGACAACCAAAGAAATATTTTAAATGGTGATTTCAGTCACTGCTCCAAACCTCCGTCTTTAAAGAAGGCAAAGAATAGGAAATACTCAGTCAAAAACTTGAGAAATAGGAAGTATGCAAAGCAAAATGGTATTAGTAGTACAGATACACACAGTTAACAAATCTAAAACAGTAGATCAGCATCAACAAACACTAAATTGAGGATACAGGCAACTTACAGATCTAGATGAAATAGCCTGAGCAATTTTGACATAGGCCTGCAGTGAGAAAGAGAAGCTCAAGATGGGTTACCCAAGAAGAGAGTATCCAAAATAGAAAGGAACCAAGTCATAAGCTAGCACAAACAAAAACAAAAAAAAAAAAAAAAAACACACAATCCATATAGAAATTTTATTTTTCCTTCCTTATTTTTATCCCTAATCCTCCAATATCTAAACAGAAACCTGCAATAATAGGAATAATAAATTATGTGCAAGATAGAATTATTCTAGTGGCTGAGACATGCACAGAAACAATAGACTATTAGTAAAGGATATTCATCTTTTAAATATCATCCATTAGAAAATCAGACTAACTTTTTGAAGCTATGATCTGACAAAAGCATTGCAGATATCATGCACCTAGTGCTCTAGTAGCATATTGGGTAACAACAAAAATCTAAACCAGAGACAGGACAGAGCATGGAGTTACCAAATAGAAATTCATGGAGATAACAGATACATTCATGCATGTGGACAAGCTACGCAGAATTCATAAGCACAAAAACATGAATGAACAAATTCAAGACAGCATCATGGAATCCAAAGAAGATGTGACTTATCAATACCGGACCAAGTTCAACCAGTATTTTCCGAAGCTCAGCAGCTCGAACCTGCAAACAATAAGAGGAAACATGTCAACACTCTTCAAGGTTAAACTAACACAACCATTGCAGCAATCCAAGACGTTCAAGTAAGAATATTGCAGCAGAGTCAGCTTCACATTATGTCCTTGATTGACATGATACAATCTAATAGTGAACATCTCTTTGCTTTTAGCTAATAACCTACCAAATTATAGCCTCCAAAGGCCTCATCCATCATTAGTTTATATAGTTTTGAAAAAGTTCAAACTCTACAAAGGTACAGTGATGTCAGATAGCGGATGTTGGACCTGGTTATTGGGTGGATCAGGTTAGGGTCATCTTAAAACAGGCCAAAAGTGAGTGTGGTCAATAGCAGGCAGCCAAACAAATGAGGGGCAAAGAAGAGAAGAAAAACCCCAAAAGTAACAATTAGCTATACATGAATTTATTAACCATGTCTATTCCCTCCGTCTCATGGTACAGTGTTCATTTTCATATTCGTGATCAAACTTTTAAACTTTGACCGTAGTCATGTGAGATATTGTTGTATTCGTCTCTTGGTTTTTTAGATGCATTACTTTTGAGCAATTTTTGAAGTAAAGAGAGAAAGTAAAGAGGGATCATGTGATATGAAAGAGAGAGAATTTATTAGTTATAAGGGAGAATAATGCATCTAAATTGAAACTTCCATTTATAGAAGATGAAGCATCTAAAAAATAGAGAAAGTAATTTTTTATAAAAAATTGTGATTAAAGAGATATTGATAGTCTAAGATAGACTTTGCAAACAAAATAAAAGACCATATATGATGGACCAATGGAGTATATACTTTGTTGTTTAGAATGTAAAAATAGTATTTGTGCTTCATAGTTTAAGAATAATTGCAGCGTTTTGACTTTCACATTAATTAATCATGGACTATCTTTGTTGATTTATTCTTGTTATAAGTGTAGATATTGGTTAAAGTTATACATTGACAATCATTCTTACATTTTACCAATTTTAATAAGAATTGGTTGTTATTGGACAGTTTATTCCTATGATCATGCAACAGCTTATAAATTGGTTTGGTTCTGCCCTTAAAAGCAATTGCAAACAAGTAGAAACTGAAACAAAACTACAAGCAAAATACTATAACCTTGAACATGGTATCAGCCCTCTCCATAACCCCGTCAATATACCGAATTCCGAACCATTTTCCAAGCGTAGTACCAATCTGAAACAACCTACGACCCAAAATCAAAGGCTTTCTTCTGTAAATCGAACCAATGCTCGCAATATCATACTCCGAAAGCGACTCGGCCTCCGAGTCACTGAGCTTGAACAAGTACCCCGAGTTCTGGGTGAACAAGTCGACGTTTCGGGAGGCGGAAAGCGACGTCGGCCGATGTTGAGGAAAATTGTTGAGTTTTGGGGAGAGATTGAAATTCAGCTTGGGGTGGTCGCCGGAAAATGAGTGGAAGAGGGGTGGTAACGGCGAAGGTGGCCGGAGAAGTAGGGGCATTCTTGGAATTTGTTAGTCTCTGAAATTCCCGGGAAATTGAAAATGTGTTTTTGGAATGTGCTTCAGAAAGATATGAAATCTAATTAGTGTGTGTGAGGTGTAACCTTTGCCACACTTCCAAAGTTCCAATAGCATGGGCCACAAAAATCTAACTACGAGAGTATTCTTTTTTATCAATTACCAATAGTTATTATAGGTAAAAATTATTAATACTTGGTCAGGGGTTATAAAATGAATTATATTTTGTTTTTCATATGTAGATAAAAATTTCTAATATAAATAGATAATATTTTATTTTACAAAGTTTTATATGTGACCGATCACATCGTGTAGCCGGAATTACTTGGTCAGGGGTTACTCAGTTGGTCAAGGGTTACTTTATTGATCAGGGATTACTCGGTCAATGTTTTGGTGTGTCTCAGCTGGCCACACAATATCGCCAGCCACATAGAAAACGCGCTGATTTTATTTTTATAATTAATATAAAATTTTAGATCTAAAATAAAATGCAATTTTTTTTTTCATTGGCTAAAAATAACATTTTCCTATGTGACGCTCTGATAAATTTTTATTTATTATTATAATCCTATGTAGCGCTTTTAAAAAACTAATCTTACGTGACATAATCTTATTATAGCGTTTTAAAAATATTAATCCTACGTGGCGTTTTTTTTATTATTATAATCCTACGTAGCGCTTTAAAAAAACTAATCTTACGTGGCATAATCCAATTGTAGCGTTTTAAAAATATTAATCCTACGTGGCACTCTAATAATTTTATAAAAATTAAAAGCGTACGTGGTGCTCTCAAAACTTGGGAAAAAACTCCATACCCATTTTCTGTCTCTCACTGTCACTTCCTCTCTAGTTCATTTTCAGAAACCTCCATAAACATTCTCAAAAAGCTTAGATATCAAAAATTTCGTGCATAATCATGGATATTAGAGAAGAATTGCTGGTGCTATAGCAAATTCTAGAAATCCGCGTAAAAAGAGAAGGTGATTTTCAAACTTTTCGATAATTTTGAGCAACAAATGTCACTGTAAACGTAAAATTATTTTCAATTGCAACCTAGATTTTCTTAATTCACCATTTTCTCTCTCTAATCGTCAATTTCACTAACTATTAGTTCAATTTTGGTTAATCTATTTAGATCTGTAACACCCCCGATTTACTAATTAAAAATAAATAAAAATTAAAGGAAAAATAAGCAACCTTTAAATAAAATTGCGGAAGCATACACCTAAATCGGAGGTATTATCGCCACACTCAGCTCGACAACTTGTCAAGTGCTAAGGTTTACAAAATCCCAATAATTACAACTCTATAAGTCTAAGTAAACTATTAATACAACTTTACAAACTCATTATAAAAGTATTATCGAAACACTTGAGCTCCTTTAGCTACGATCACTTGATTAACCTGCTTAAACAAACTTGACTGCTCACCATTAAGGACAAATTCCAAAATAGATCGTCGCAGGGTCACCATAAGACATGGCCACAAACACAAGTAGCAAAGCAAACAAACAACACACACGTCAGCAAAAAGCCGAGTAATCATCACATATAACTAGACTACAGAGAATAATAGAATAATTAATAGTACTAGCTCACTTAAACAATATAGCTCAAAACTAAATTACACATTGTACTCTGGAAATAACCTTTGTCAAACTCAACCTCGAATAATAATACGAACCTTTACTCAATTAACTCATCTAACCAATAAGTGTGCCATGTTCTTTGTTCAATACCTAGCCTTGGACATGAGTAATTTGAATGAATAAACCAACAAGTATAAAAACTTGAATACTCTCAATAACCAGAAAAACACCTTGAACCAAACCAACATACGGGGCAAATCCCATTGTAGGTGACCATAAAAAAATATAAATAAAGATTGTACCTCATTCTTAACTCATGATTATCATCTTCTTACCAACATGCCAAGGACTAAGGTCTATAACGTCGAGACTCAACCCAAGAACAAAATAATAATTCTCAACTTTTTGATCTCATACACTGATCAAATAACCATTTACATGCTAATAAATAGTGTCTCAATAATGGCACATGTTCCCAAGTAATATAACATAACATACTCGATTCACAAAATATCTCAAATCTTATAGGACAATAATACTAATAACCAAATATAATCGATTCATCATAACCCAAAAATAATAATATTAGTAACCCTAAAACCTTAATAACAATACTCCCTAGAGAAACAACATTAAAAACGCTAGAATAAATAACACAATCAATCAATAGGATAATTAAATCATATAACACAACACACCAATCACACACACACACACACACACACACACTATATATATATATATATATATATAGAGAGAGAGAGAGAGAGAGAGTCGGGATCCGGTGAGACCATCTCTTATATGAGACCAAATCTGTGCCATTGAACTAAATAGATCTGACGGATGAAAAAGCGCATAGTAATGGAAAAATCAGTAAATACACCACCTAACTGTCATCTCTCTCCACCTAGCTAACTAACTTCTCTCTCCACCACGAAGCTTCATCAATGGCGCCTAATCAGTAACGCTGTTTCTCATTGCTTCAAATTGCTTCATCAATTGCTTCATCAAAGTAATCATAAGCAAGTTCACACCGACCTTGCTCGCCTTGCGCTATATTACTAATCGCGATTGCAATTCGCTGCTACAAATCAAATTCGCCAGGTTATTGAATTGCATGTTAATTGGATGATATTTTTTGATTTTTTGGTTTGTTCTGTTCTTATTAATTTGCATATTTAATTGCATCAATCACCAGGTTATTGAATTGCATGTTAATTGCATGATAATTTTCGATTTTTGAGGTTTGTTCTGTTCTCATTGAATTGCTTGTTTAATTGCATCAATTATGGATTTGATTGAATTTACTTCTTTGAAATTTTTTGAATTAAATCAACAATTTAGGTTTGATTAATTTGATAGAAATTGGAAATTTGCAATCAAATTTAAAATGAGCAAATGAATTGAAAATGAGCAAACCTAAATATTTGTAATAATATAAAAAACATATAATGAGGAAACATAATTAAATTGAGCAAATCCAAAAAAAAAGAGCAAATATAAAAAGGAGCAAATGAGCAAAATAAGTTGGTAATGGTGGTGGTGGTAGGGTGCAAGGGACAGGGGCGGCGGCGAGGGAGTGAGAGTGACACAGGTTGTGGTGGTGATATTGGTGGTGGTAAGGTACAGGGACAAGGGCGGAGGAAGGAGAGAGAGTTTGGTGGTGGTGGTGATTGTATAGTGTAAGAAAGAGGGTGAGAAATAGGATTCAGCTCAATAACATGAGTTGCAGAAGCAGTGAAAGTGAAAGAGGTAGCTGTAGCTGTAGCTAATGAGCAAATATTTAGTTGCTCATTTATCAAATGAGCAAGTGGTTGTGCTTCTTAGATTGAGCACTTCCGTGTGCTGTGATAATCTGAAATTACTGTGTGTGTGTGTGTGTGTTTGTGTGTAAGTGAGTGTAAGAGTGCATGTGTTAGAGTGTGTGTGTGTGTGTGTGTCTAAGAATGTATGGTTTTTGTAGGCAAATATGCTATACTGAATGCTATATATGCTAGGTTTTGCAAATCATATTGAAGGGTAGCATTATCAAGTTTTACTCCTTTTCAAATCATCTAGTTTCTGCTATCAAAGCATTGAGTTCCTTGGTTTTCTTGCCTGCACACAAGCCCCACCCCCCTTCTTCTTGGTCTGTTTCCTACACACCAACCACACTCCCTTCTTACACTTCCTTATACAAACCTATTCCCCCCTCCCCCCTCATCTTTCTGTTTGCAATTCTGATTTCTGAATCTGATTTCAGAAATGATGAGCAACAACGAAGAACTTGACAGTCATTCTAGTACCATCACAAATGTGGCAACTACTCCTACAATAGTAGTTTCTCCTAAAGTAGCACCTTTGCTCACTCCTGGAGGAACAAAAGAATGGCTTCCAATATGCCCCAATGAGTTGAAACCAGCTATAGGGATGAAGTTTAATAATCTTGAAGAGGGCCTTGAATTTTATAAAAGATACGCATTTGCTGCTGGATTCAACACAAGAAAGTCTACAACTAAAAGGCAAAGAAGAAGCAAAGAATTGAAATCACAGTATATCTTATGCAATAAAGAAGGATACAAAGAGAAAAGAAAGCCTACTGTTGAAAAAGATTTAAATAACAACGAAGGAGAAAGCAATGAAGAAAAAACTTCAATCAAAAGGAAGAGACTCGTTACTCGTGTTGGGTGCAAGGCACATATTATCATAAAGCATTGTGATGATAACAAATTCATAGTGTCACAATTTCATGAGGGACATACTCATCCGCTTTATACACCTAGTTGCAATCTCTTCCAAAAAGAAGGAAGAAAAATGAACATATTGCACAAAAAAATAATTGTGAATAATTCTAAGGTACAACTTTCAAAGTCTCTTATGTTTCATGAATTCTCTACATGTTCTAATAAAAGTAGTATGCTCATTTGAAAAATGAGCATTTAATTGTTTGTTTATTTGAAAAATGACCATTAAATTGTTTGATAATTTGAAAAATGAGCATTAAATTGTTCAAATGAGCAAGCAAATAATTGAATTGTTTGCTCATTTTAAAAATGAACATTAAATTATTTGCTCATTTGACAAACTGTTTTGTTCTTTAAATAGGTGAATATTGGTCCAGTTACAACTTTTCGAATGATGAAGGAAATTGTTGGAGGATATGATAACATTGGTGCATCTAAGGAAGATTTCAAAAAATTTCATAGAGATTTGAAAGCATACATTCAAGGAAGTGATGCTCAAATGTTCGTGGATAACTTTACCAACAAAAAGCTAATGTGGAGCGCTTTTTTCTTTGATTTTGAGATGGATGAAGATTATTGCCTTTGTAGAGCATTATGGGCTGACCCCCTTTGTAAAAAGAGTTACGCTCTATTTGGTGATATGGTATCCTTTGATACCACATACTAAACCAATAGGTAATTCATAAAAATCACAATTCATTTTTATGTTATAACTATAGCTTAACTTAATAACTTTGTTTTAAATGAACTTAGTATAATTGTTTGCTTATTTC